CAGTGCCATCTATTCTGATGGCCCACTGTAATTTACATGTGACATGGAGCTTGTTGGAGCTTGGTCATGCCTACAAGAAAAGACGTACGTGCGCTACGGATCGATCCTGACATCCATCGTTTGAGAATCGGGAGGTGAATGGGAGACATTCCGAACTTGCACTTTTCTGAACCTGCTCTTGCTAGGGTTTGTTCGACTGAGTCGATGTAGTGATCCTGTATCCGCCTAAAAGCCACAAAACATGTGAGAGATCAGTGCCACACGAGAGACCGGCATGGCTTGCGGCTGCTGCACGGCTTGTAGAAAGAAACTCTCTCCTGTGAAGCGAGTGCTTCTGAAAAGCAGTTCTGTCCCGCTGCGAGGGACGTTCTTGGATGGTCTTGAGCGATGGTCTCAGGATTGCTGCAACCTGAACCTCTACATGGATGGTTCGAATACCGTTGGCTGGCATGCAGATGATGAGTCTCTTTTTCAAGGCACGGGGCGAACGAAAATGGCTCGAAAACGAGTGGAAAATGGACGGAAACGAGGGCGAGAGGATGCGAGAGGCGGGTTGAAGATGGTTGACGTATTCTTTTCGGTGGATTGAAAGGGGCAGAACTAGACTCTCCAGGGCAATCCTGTGGCTCCATAAATAACACCACGATTTGGAGGACCAACCCTGCTAAGTCCCAAGTTGTGATCCACTTGTTTGAAACACTCCAGTCGACGCACCCTGTTCTCGGCTCCTGGGAGTGCTTGGCTTGGAAGATGGCTTCGGTCCAGCCATTCCCTTCATCGAATCCGCCAGGCCGCCCCGTTTTTTTCGGATTCCAGAAATCGGACCAAGCTCCAGCGACCAAGCCGTGGTAGTTCCCTTCAGTTCCTGCCACCCCAGCTGTGTTTCACCAACCCGTGAAACGCATGGAGTGACAGGGAGTGAATCAAACCGTGCGTGAGCCGACGACGGCCGGCCTGCAGAGGCCTCATTGGAGGCCGGCTCGCAGTTTTCAGCCAAGGTAAACATCAGGACATCACCATCATTTCTTTGTCTTTGGGCATGCCACGGCGCTTTGAACTTCGCTACAATTGGCCTGAGACCGCGGAAGAAGACGCAGCTTGCTGATCGAACAACCAAGCCGGTTTTGCGGGGTGGGACTAGGCGTGGCTTGTTTGAGGGGGTTGGAAGATGAGCAGTTTCTTTTCCACTTTCAAAGCTCACCTTCATCGGTTGAGATGTTCTTGGGATGCCTGGCAGAGGCTGCAGCTAGAATGCTTCGCCATGAGGCTGCCCGTGTTGAATGGCGGTGGTTTTTGGGGTGGTGTGTGTGTGGGTGGTGAGCACACTTTACTCATCATTGCTCACGACGATGCAAAGTGTCCATTCCAAGTATCTCCACCTTTGGGTCTCCAGAGGTTGCGTTGGGGGAGTACAGTGGTCTCCGAGTAGATGGCGCAGGCACAAACCCTACGTATCTAGAGGGGGTTCCATATAAACCACCTTTTGAGGATTGTGCCATCTACTCTGAAACCACTGTAGATAGAGGCTGATTTGGAAGATGCTATCCTCTCCCAGCTGTGCTACGTTTTGGTTTCGACCGATGGACTTTTCAAAAGATGGATTCCCATAGGACCCTTGCGTGGCATTCCCGTCTCGTTGTCCAGAATGGACTTCCGTACCTTCGTGACGTCCGAGGAAGTCTTGCCCATCATCCTCAACAACGGTGACTTGATGACGATGGAAGGTATGACTCAGATGCTTGGACCCCCCGCGACGTCGGTGTTTTAGTCGTGCGGTGGCCCCTTCTGCCTTCGGGGGGTTCGGGCCTTCTGGCCTTCGAACCAGAGTCCTTGAGAAGATCATTATAGAAAAAAAAACTGGTTCGGCGTGCAAAAGTCCATGTTGTGATCTAGAACAAACACGCGAGAAGAAACACGCGGACCGCCTGGGCATTGGCGGCGCGTTGTTTGAGAACATGAGTCCCAGGAAGCATTTGCAGCACCGTGTGCCCAAAGAGAACGTCCAGGGGCCACGCATCAACCTGACCTGGAGATGGGTTCTGAGCCTCAGGGGATGGAGGGAGAGTGGGACCGGACGGACCTTGTTTGTAGACGGTTGATGAATAAGTAAGAGCCCCATCAGAATTTTGGGATCTCCATATGGGGTTGTATGATTTCAACAGTCTACTTACTTAGTGTACTTGTGAATGATTGGCTGCTCTTTCGGTTAGATCTGGGGAGCACTGAGAGCTTTCAACAAATGGATCCGTATGGTTAGTTGGTAAAGGAGCTTGTGGGGAGCGAAACTGATTCCACCGAGCTCTCCTTGGATAACAAGCAGATGACGATGTGCAGTTCATTGGCCAGTGACTGGTGTTTTCATGAGGTTGCGTCTTGTGTCGCAAATTGGTATACAGTAATATTGTATGGTCTTCAAGCGGAAGCAGCCGACAGCATATGACTGATGTTTACAGTCACGTTGTGGCATGAAGCCTACGTCTTGGTGCATTGAGCCTGCTCCAAGATGTCACAAAACCACAGCCGGGCCTTTTGTCAGAAGCCTTTTTGAAATGATCTATTCCAACGACTAGGGCTGAATAGGGAGTCCCTTGCTTCGTCCGAATCCGGGCCTCCAGTGATCAACCCAATTCACCCAGCGACCCGGCGACCCCACCCTGCCATCCCGCGACCTTGCAGAGGATGAACAGAGGCGATACAATCGGCGATACCGAAGTTGATGCAAGGAGATGACGGCTTCACTAGGTGTATGCAGGAAGTTTCCTTTTGCACAGCATCCAAGGAAAGAGTAGCGTTGATACATGTTTGTGCTTTCTGTGGTGATAATGTAGAAGATGAGCTATTTCTTGTAATTTCAACCTGTCTTACAGACCTTGCCCCAAAACGCAGCACAGATTTTGATTTACCGACCGTGCTCAGGTGCTCCTATTTGCTCCGAGCACATAAGCAGGAAGACCATAGAAGCCCCGTTTGTTCTCCTTCCTTTGAGCAAGAATGAAGCCGCATAAGCTGGTGCGGTGCCAGAAGCAGTGGAAGGTTTGGAACATTTGCAACCAAATTTTGTTGGGATCAGGTCCAGGTTGTCATGGTTTTGGATGCATGTGAAATTGAGACCTGAAGGTTCACATGAAGCTGAGGAAGGAGTTTGAAGGACTAGGACCCTGATTTTAAAACTCTTCCATCCTCCCTCCCTCCAACCAACATAGCAAGAGAACCTGTATCCACTTCCATGGAGGGTCAGAGTGTAAATTATCTATGGGTTGCTTGTATCGGCTAGTGAGAGGGCATCGACCAGGGAACAACCGGCCCAGGTCAAACGGCACAAGTCTGCCTGCCCTTTGGGTCAATATCAACGATGAGGGCGGCCACATGATTTTGCGTATCTCGTTTGTTGGCTGTCCAGACACGGCCAAAGGTTAGGAAGAAGGACAGGGACAGAAGATGATCGAATTCTGAAAATTTGAAGGGCAATGGGGCCTCCATATACCTTCAATAACGAAGAGTAGTTTGGTGATCTTTAGTTGAAGGCCTGCTCAGAGGGTTCTCGAACCAAAGACACAGGCCACCAGTGGGAGCACCGACCCACGCAGAAAAGTCCTTCCAACCTCTCCAGTGGCAAAGAGGATCTTTCGGAAAAGCCTCACCCGGATAGCCGAAAAAGCGAAAAGATGGAGGACAGCTATTTAGATGATGGCTGAGATTTGCCCAGGGAGTTCGTCCTACACATGTTACGTGTTGGTTGGCCATTCCGTGCCCTGACCTTCAGTCAATCACTTGTTGCACAGTGACTGGAGGTCACAACTTGGAGGGGCTGCAGTTCTGCATGTTCTGGAACGGTGGGACTTAATCCCCGCATGTTGAAGACATGAAGACATGTTCCAGCTTTCAGCCTATTTTCAAGAATAGGGCAGGCCACTGGGTCTACTGGCTTGATGGAAAAGTGCTTGAACTTAGTCTCCCTCTTTCTGGTTTGGGGAGTGCACATTTGTGTGCATGTGTATGTATGCATTTGCAGAGTGCTGCAGAAGCTTCTGGCATTTTCCGGAGATAGAGACGCATTCAGAGATCAAGGTTCGAAATCTTGAACCAAAGACCTCAAAGACCTCAAACTGTTCAACCAAAGACCTCAAACGGATTCAACCAGCCCTCATGAAGTCTGAAGACCTCTGGGTTCATTCCTTCCGGTGGATCACGGTGGGTCACCCTGCCAAAGCCGACGGCATCGGCTTGGGTGCAAAAACGGGGGACGTATAGGGTCAGCTCCTGGTGCTTTTGTTGTTCGGTGTACGAGCTGATGGTTGCTCATGGGCTAGAGAGACGTTTCTCAGGTCCATTGATCCAGCACTTTGTTTGGGTGCTTTATGGTGCTGCTAATGGGAGAGCACGTGGTTTTCTCGTATACTGCTGGAAGCGAAGACGGATGAATCTCATGGGCTGAATTTCTGGTGGGTCCATGATTTCATTGGAAATTCATGGTGTTTTCCTATCGTTCTTCTACAGAAGTCCTTCTACAGATGGGTAAGCCAAGGAGGTGGTTGGAAGCCTAATGGACAAACCTCAACCAACTCAAGGACGATCGGTTGCATCTCCATCCTCGAACCGACTGGGCAAACCTCCGAGTAGCTTCACCGCGCAGACCAGATGCCAGTGGTCACTGCGGAACAAAGCAGCAAAAAGGGGTGCCAGAGGTGCTGATGCTGGCTTAAAGAACTGAAGCATATAAGTTAAGTCATATAAGTCATATCCATATAATCCATGTGTGTGTCAATTGTGTACCTACATAAAAAGTAATAAGAATATATAAGTTATTATGAGTTTAGCATGGAAACGCAGGTCATGTACCGGAAGCCCACTGTAGCTTCGATTCTTTCTTCAGCTCCTGAAGACAAGACAGGATGGTGCTGCTACCGGAAGCCCTTTTTTCCGGTCGCTCCTGGCATTCCTACTAGTAACAAGAAGGAGGCGACCCCATCAGCGACTGTCGACTGAAGCGAGGCGGATGAATGCAGCGATGGCTCAACATCTCCACCGGTACTTTGTGCGTGGCGGTGTTCCTCAGCGCCTGAGCAGCCACGGAGGAATATGTATATACCTTCACCAATACCTTCACCCGCAGAAAGTTCACCAACAAACACAATGTTTTCAATCAAACATTACATATGTTTACATATGTTCTTACATTGATTCGTGTGTGATTCACATACCAGGAAAACCAAACAACCAAAAACGCCATGGATGTTTCACCAAATAGCCACTTCCGATGTAAAGGACCGTAAAGGATCTTAATTGCCATTTTGGAGCCACCATTTGTTCCTGTTGATTTGGGTGTCCCCATCATTTGTACAGGAGGTCAGGGAGGCTCCAAAAACAAAGGGTGCGCAACGATGGTGTGATAGGCAGACGGCCACGTGGAGCCAAGCCTGGAGGTCCTTGGCCCGGATGTTGGTGGATGGGAATAGGTCGTGCCCCACCCACCTGGAGCCCGACCAAACAAACGCCAAGGACCGGCACCGGTGTCCAGGTCTGGTTTGGACCTCTGGGGCGCAGGAGCGTGAGCGAACTACTTGGAGCGTGAAAGCATGGAAAGGTCAGGGGTGGTGGGGTGCCTCCCGGGCTCCAGGCTCAGTTCGTTTGAAGAACCTGGTTTCTGAGGTGCCCAACTGGTCGGCGGACAAAGCGATTCGCAGCTGGAAGGCCGTCAAATACTTTTTTCGGATGGAATGCTCTTGGGCTCAAGCCCTGTGGAGAGTGTGTTTGTGCGGGTGATTGTTGTTGATATGGGTGATGGTTTCAAAATAATTCTGAGATTTGGCCCTTTCCAATCGGTCGTCCTTTTAACTGATGCTCTCAGTCCAGACTGGGTGACTGTAGCTGACTTCTTAGTTGCTTTACATCGGTTCCACCCACCATGGGGACCACCTGTGTGTGCAGGTGGTGGCCACACGGCGGCTTGCAACTTCATTTGGCAAGAGCTTGTGAAAGTCTCAGCCACCCGGCCCGTCGACCGGAACTCTCGGGACCAGCCGAAGTCGGGGACGAGCCGGTTCCCGGGGTCGGGGACGTGGCGAACCGTCGAAGCCAGCTTGGCCTCCGGGTGGTTCAAGTCGTGGCACCAGTCCACTCAGGATGAATGGATGGAGAACCGATCGAACTGAGCTCGGAACTGAAGGAGAGAACTGGTCGCTACAAACCAATGATGAGAGGTGAAAAAGGGTGGAAACACCGTCCCAGGTGGTCCGAACCCACCAATTGGTCGCGGGGTCGCAGAACCCGACCCTCTGCGACAATTGCTCCACAAAACATCACCAAACTGGGCCTGATGGGTGCTCCTAGGTCAGTCAATTCCGGCCTTGACGCTCTTTCAAGGAGCAGACCTGCTTCGACGAGCTTCCCAAGTTCCTTTGCTGCCACCAACCGCCCAGCATCGGTTGCTTCAGAGATGAAACTCACCGAGACCTTTGTTGCGAGGCGCAAACCAAAACCAATCAAACACCCGCAGCGGCGCGCGGTGTGCGTCGTGAAGGTCCGGTGGGCAGCGTGGAGGTGGCGTGGAGGTCCCAAAGTGTGGTCAGAGGCCCGGTGAGCGGTTGACGAATTGGAATCACATTGGTTGTGATTCCATACGTAGAGAATGGATGAAAATTCATGGGGGAACGCGTGCGAAGCGGGTGGAGTTGGAGCAAAATACAACGACAGAACATGACGCTTCATGCAGACTCGACTCGGCCACCGATTTCACTGTGAAGCGAAAACCAGTCGTTGTGAGGTCCATCATGATGTCCATCATGGTTGGTCGTTTCACTGAGCATAACTCTTGAGTTTAGATAAGTTGTGATAAACATGATAGACCTTTGCAACTACTTTGAGAATCTAAGTATATATCTCCTGTTGCTATGTTTGTGCATGTGTATGCCTAGGGACTGAAAACCGGACCCACTTTTCTGACATTTTCGGACTCCACGACGCTTGGTCATGTCATCACATGGTGTTGGGGGGGTGGGGGGTGGGGTGAGGGTCAAATTGACCGCAGTGGAGCGTGTAATAATACACAGTAGTATCCCTGGATTCAACTCACAGTCCAACAAGGTTCACAAGAGCGAGTGAGCGAAGGCGATCGAGCGGCTGTTTTCACACGCACATACCTTGAGCCAAATATTATGGCACGTCAATGCATTGCGTAAGAGCATATCGCAAGATAACCAAGTTGAAGCAATAGCGTAAACGGGGACCCAAAAACAGAAAACATGGGGGGGTTTTGTAATTTCGTTGCTGTCACATACGTCTCATGAGCATGAAGGCTCAAGAAGTAGCCACCGTGTGCTTTAGTTTTGTTGTGTCGGTTGTCGGGTATTCCTTGACCTCCTCGTTTTTTTTGTGGTTTCTTCGTTTGTGGTGTGCCAACCCTTTTTCTTTAGACCAGCACGTAGACGGCTTAACTCGTGGTTGTTCTGACCCTTTAGTTTCTTTTGTTCACGAAACAGTTTTGGGCTCAGATCGTGGCAGGGTAAACTGAGAGCAGGTGTTAGAAGCTCGTCTTTCGTTGTTCGCACTTTGGTGCAAAGTGCGGTTGAGGTTTTCTTTTTCGAAAAGGCAGAAACTAACTCCTTTTCTGTTGGTAACTGTTGGTGTTGAGTTGGCGTTTGTTGCGTCGTTGTAGCAGCTCCATGTCGGATGGGTGCGCCGCCGCTGATTTGCCCGACAATGGCGTCGATGAAAAAGACTTGAACTCGGAGCCTGACTGGGGACAGCTAGCTACACAAAAAACTGGCAACTTGAGGTGTCACGAAAAAGCCTTTTTCTATTTAGGCAAAACGCATGACAAAGCACTGCGTTTACCAATGAATTTGACATGAGAACCTGCAAAATAGGGTTCGGTTTCCAATCCGTACGGATGTGTATGATAGCTACTTCAGGCCAGGATGAACATGATAATTCCTTCTACCTAGACCATCCTAGACCCCCTTACCAACAAATTATGCGTTCTTTTGACAAGGTATCCCCGACATAGAAACAGCCCAAATGAGAAACACCCGAGCTTGCTTGGAAGAGCTTCAAGACCGAAAAGTTGCCCAGGACAATTTTACATGAAATCATTCATCAAACGCGGCACAATCTACATCAAAGGGTTTTGCTTTTCTCTTTACACAATCCTGGTTAGAATTGGCACCAGGTGTCAGGCTTGAGTGGACTATGTTTTGCAAAATCGTACACCAAAATTGTTATGGAGGCATTGTAGTCTAGAAATTGAAGAATCATCCATTCAGACGTTTCCAACATGTGTTTTTCTGACTTTACGGGAATGTTTTTTGGAATAGGTACAAGGAAGGGATTGAGATCTTCTTACGAAGAGGCATTTTGAGCAACTATAGTATCAGGTGGGTAGAACTAGAAAGGAACCTCGTGCCACCTGGAGAAAGAACTGGCCAAAACACCAGCCCTGCCATCAGCTGCCGCTGCTCATCGGAAGGCACCATTCTCGTCGAAGGTCGTGGCACAGGACCCTAGCGTTTGCTGATCAAGTTCACCGTTTGGTCGATTGGTAACCTTTCCAGCCTCAACATCACGCATCAAAACAGTTTGGTTGGAGTCCGTGTTGGTTCGCTTTCGTTTGTCCATGCCCTTTTTTGCTGAGAGAGTCAAAAAATCCGGGACCGGACAAGTAAGGACGCTGGAACTACAGAGAGGCACCCCAAGAGACATAGGACCCAAAGGACGGCATAGGACCCCAAACAAGCGGCCGTCAGGACTACCTCGTGGCCATGGTGATACGAGAACAGTTCCTTGGCGTTTCGCCCTTGGTCGGTTTTCATGTCCTGACATCCCGGAAATCAGTGCTCCAACAGTAGATGAGGCCGCTCCAGTGCTTCAAAACATGGCTGCCAACTCCAGCATGGCTGTGTCGTCAAAGGATCGTGAAGAAACAGAGTAATCTGCAAAGGCCACCCACAACGCCCCTATTTCTTGGGCTCCCCTGATGCCTTGCCATTCAAGTGAACCTGTCATGGCTGGCAATCGAGAATGGAATAGGTGCAATGGATAGGAACAGTGCAATGAACTACGGGAACGGAACCATCCACTGGTGACCTCGGAGCCCATGTCCTCCCGAGAATTGGTCCCCCAAGCACGGTGGCGACGCGTCGCGGGGTTCGACGTACCCGCGGCGTCGGCGTCGTGCGCCGCGCACGCGTGGCTGAGTGCAGGGAGCTGCTACAGCGACACTGCCCTTTCGCCTCGGCATTGACGCAACTGGTGCCATATCAACATGTGGCTGAGCTGTGGATTGCAGTACTGAGTGGCACAAGAGAGAATCCAAGAGCAATTGGGAGATCCAGACCAGGATTGGCGCAACATTCACTCTGAACTCATATGAACTCATTGCATTGGCTGTACTCCGAGGTGGCTGGTGCATGATCTATGAAATAAATACAGTAGGGCTTTGTGAAAATGGTTGATCACACCTGAAAACACAAAGATTGGATCCTTTGAGCTGTTTCGGATCCTTCTGTTGTTTTGATCCGACGGAACGACCAAGTCACGGACCATCCATCGGACCCAGGCCTTTCAGTGAGACTTTAGAGTAGCACATGTGCCGTTCCCCCAATGTAAGTAGGCCAGTCCCATCCAAATGGTTTCAGATCGCAAGCGTTGCAAGTCCAAATCTCCCAACGACCTGCTGCGATGTCTGTCGGAGTCTTTTTGGAAAAAGCTCGCTCGCGCGTTTTCTCTCGGCGGTGCGAGTCATCGTCATCGTCACGTCACGGAGGAAGAGCTGAAAATGTCGAAGAAGGCCTTGCTGCAGCACGAGTTGATTTTCTTGGCACCTTGGATGGACTCAGAGGGAAAAAATGGGGGGAAGAACCGGCACAGTCTGCACCGTCAGAAACGGCGCGGCCCTTTCGGTGGACGAAGTCGGGTTGCCCACTGCTGTTGCATCACACCGTGCAGGTGCTGCATCCGAAGGAGGAAGGACGTACGACGAGGAGCCCAAGGTCTATCCAAAAGTTGGATGATATAAAAACTGCGTGCTGGTGCTGTAGATGGTTGTCAAGTCAAACCTCCCAGCAATGGGAGATGAAGTGAGAATCAGGGGGGTAAACTGGTAAACCTCTCGATTTGTTTTTTGGGGGAAGGTTTTTGGATGTTTTTTTTGGCAGCTATAATTACAGTTTCCTTCGGAGCTCATTTCATTTGCGGCATTTGCGTTCAATTGCTTTCATTCAGAATGTTTGTCTTGAGCTTTCTGGGTGGAATCTGGGATCTGGATTTTACTATTATGGCTCCTGCTTATTATATACCTCAAAACTATTATTCTGGGGCACAAGTAAAATCAATTGTGATCTGGATTTTCTGGCAGGCTTGAATTTGAGGATGACCGGCTCAATATGAATTAACATTAGGAGATGTTTCACCCCTAACTTGCGTTCTAGGGCGGGTTGTTGTTCATCAACTGTCTACATTACGTCTCACATGAGGGCATACCACACCTTAAGAAATCGGTCCAAAAGTAGATCATTCGGAGTTACTGAGTTACTCATTGCCCACGGGGCAAGGAATACAAATCAAAAATCGTCGACATGCCACTCCTGAAAACCAAGACCTGGAAACTTCGAAGTGGGAAACTCGACCTGACTCTCTTTGGAGGCCAGGGCTATGAGCTTTGCCGGTGCTGGCTGGAGCAACCTGCTGCAGAGCAAGTGGCCGGTCTTCGGCATCCTGCGCCGGGTGCGTGAGCGACTCTTTCAGCCAGGTGCGGCCGGGGTTGGCCGGACTCGGTGGCCGTTCGAGGTGGTTTCACCTCTCCAAATGCAGGATCTGAATGATGTAGAACACGGGAGGTCGATGGGTTTTGGAATAGTTATGGAAGAAAGAAAAAGGTAAGGACATTCATAAAGGAATAACGAAAAGGAAAAGAACAAGGCAAACCAACGGAGAAAACAAAGGACTGTCACAAGATCAAGACTGCCTACATAATTACAGGATAGTCACAGCCAACATAATTACAACATCATGGAATGGTTACAAGGCCAGCAACCTCCAGGTAGGTTCAGCGCGGATCACATAGGCTGCAAACATGTGCAACAGAATTGCATGAAGGAGAAGCGACCAAGCAGGGGCAGCAAGAAGTGCTACCTAACCAGGCTGCGCTCATCAAGGAGCAGGAAATTACAGTGCATCATGTTGCAACGTGTTCGTAGCCGAAAACTCCTGGAACATTCATCAGATAAGGTATACCGTATACTTTATTTGATGAATGTCCTAGGAGTTTTCGGCCACGAACGCGATGCAACATATTTCACTGTTATACCCCACCAGAATTGCAGCTCTAAGACTTTTCCCTGGCAAGAACATGAGATTGGTGATTCTCCACTTAGCTCATCAGTGGACCCTTCACCGATGTGGACGCCACGTGCTCAAACATCTATATATATGAGTGTAACGCGCGTTAGAATGTCAATGGGATAGAAGAAAACCTCGTGGGACCGGGCGTTGTTTCTAGTGGGACCAGCGTTGCCAACGCTTGGGTGACATCTTTGGACGGGGCCCCTAGACTCAAGAGGGGGATCATTCTTCACCAGTACCTTGAGACAAAGCTGTCCGATCGCATTGAGATGTTGCGAATCAGTGCCTTGATATTCGGTTCTGAAGATCTACATAAAGAACGCATCCCGAAGTAGAGTCGCCCTGCTACATCGTGAAGTTGTTTTGGTTGGAGCACGCAAAGCGACCTAGGCATGCCAGCACAGAGCAACACCAACAGCTACTACAAGCAGCTCGATGCGTCTGCAGACACGTCTTTGGTTCTAGCATCTTGGCAGCTGTTGCCACAGGTTGGCGAGCCCCACAAAACGGTACAGCTTGCAGATGCCTTTTCTGTATCGTTGTCCGACCCCTTCTGATAGCTGCCTGACTGAGAGCCCGTGTCACTGAGGCCTTGTCAAACCTCAACTCCTCGGATGATTGTCCCTTTGCAAGCCGTTCGAGCGCGAGAGTTCGCCGGATTGAGGTGGAAAAATGGGCGGTCGCGCATCTTCGTCCGGATTGGTGGGGTGTATGTGATTCGCATCTTCGTCTTCAGCTGTTTGTTGGAGCTTCACTGCCCCCCGCCACTGACATCCGAACACAAAAGCAGACCAACTCGCCAGTTCCTCCTTAGGAGCCACTCGCACGGAATGCATGAGAAACACTTGACGGACTTCGATACTTCCATTCACCACTTGATCATCTTGTTGGTCCAACGCACTTGCGTCCTTCTCCTCAAGCAGCTCGTGGCTTCTCCTCAAATAAGCATAGTGATGCGGATGGCCTGTCCCCGTGGCACCATCCACTTCCATGGAACGTCATTCCTCAGGGAACATGCAGCGACGAAGGAAGATGCTTCACCAAGTCCCTGGAGGAGGGATTTTACACCAGGGAAGCACTTGGGCCGACGAGCTCTCAAAGGTCCCATTGATTTTCATCTTCCCTGTGAAGCCTCCCCCCAGCTGTTGGGCCGGCCTGTCATGTCGCCAAATGCCTGCATGTGGAGCAATGACGGGTGGATTGCTTTGTGATGTTTGCAAAAATGCATACCAAAAGGTGCACAGTGTTCTTAGACCATGGACCCCCCAAAACTGAGGCCTTGCGGCCGTGACGGCACGTTTGCACTTGGCGCTGCTGGCGGAGGCAACGCCGGACGTGTCTGGCTTCGCACAGTCGCCGCAGGCGAGGAATGGATGGCTGGACGTTCTGTTGCGCATGTGTGATTTGGGACAAGTTGTTATGTGATGTTATATGCATCGATTTATGTGGGCCTAGGATGCAGGTTTGCTTAGAGCTACCTTCCTCCAGCATCTTGACCAGCATGGTTTGCTGGAACATCGCCCATTGGTTGGGTTGTTACACCTTTTGCTTTGCACATGTTGCACAAGTTGCTCGTTGGGCGCAATGGGTTGATAGCAGACAACACCCTCACCCTAGGACCTTGACATACCTTGACCCATCCAGGTATCCACGTGCTCCATCGAAAAGCCGGGTGTGTCATCGGTGCAGCGTTTGAGACACTGTATTCACCCGATGTTTTTTTGCAGACACCCGCATGAAGGAGAGGGTGCTACCAGACATGACGACGCTTGAAAATATCGCACGCATGTATTTGCATAGCCTGTATAAGTATCGGCATAAAATAGTAATGGAACATATATATATATATTTATATATACATCCATACATACATGCACCATACACACTGGAATGGGAGACTCTTGGAAGAGGCCGTGGGTTTGGGTTTTATTGTCCAAGGCGCAATTGGTGGATGCCGCCGAGCAGGAAGCGGTGCGCTGTGATCGGAAGCTACTGCCCAGGCTACAGAGGTGGCACCCACCGATGTGTCCATTCCAAGCATGGTGGGTCCCAACGACGTGACGGTGCATCCCGAAGATGAAGATCATGATTGATCATTCTTGTGTAGTGGTATGTTCTGTTTGAGCCGCGGCCAAGTCCCGCCCTGTGGCAGAGACATGTACGATGCTGTGCAAGCATGGCATGTGTATATATTTATATGTATATATACACATACAGTTATATGTTGTTTTACTTATATATATATGTGTCTATAACTATATATATATATATATATGACACCTCTCTAGTTGATCAAAGCCGCTTGCTCGACAAATGACGTGTTTTCCCAGCATGCAAATAAGCAAGCAAGCAAATACAACTGGGACCACCCATGATCATCCGTAAGCTGGCCACGCTACAGCATCTACAGCCATGCGAAGCCAGGAAGGGCCGGCCACAACAAAACCATGACGTTGAAACTGAGGGCTTCTACTCGCAACAGCGAAGGATGTGTTCACAACTCATGAAGTTATGAAGTTTCGCATGCCTCATTCTGAAGAACCCTCCCTGAACTCCCAGCTCTGTGCGGCTTCGTCTTTGCTCGGTGTCAGCATGTCTCACTCGCCGCCCACCTCACGGCCCGGTCGGACGGGTCGACCGCCATCGGACGGGTCGACCAGCAGGCTTCTCACTAGTCGGGCGCCCATCCTGAAACTGCTGCACGAGATTTGGCAGAAGTTGCGGCCACGAGGTTGGCCCCGAGGTCTCTTCGTTGTTGGACCGAGGGGACCTCGGATCGGTCGAAAATTGGTTGGTGCAGGCGTGAGGGGGAAGTGAGTCAGAGGGTCATACTGTCCTGTTGATAGACCCATTCCATCACCTTGGATACAAAAAGCGCACAAAGGGAGGGTTTGCGGAACCAGGCTTGACGTGGGTTCAAGATGGCTCAAGTATAGCTGTAGATCCTCCTAGGGTCCAGTGGTTGCTATGTGCCTGGAATTTTGGTTGGCATGGCAAATCCTGCATCTTCTGCGATACTAGCTCATGTGCTGGCAAAGCTTCCAAGTCACGTAAACTTCTTGCAAGAACACTTACGAATAACGCAGTGGTTCCAGTGTCTCCATTCGTACTCACAGTGGGGCCGCTAGGGCGCGTCATTGAGCCACTTGGAATCTCAAGGGCAATGGACTCAGAAAAGGATTGGGGGTCCTTTTTTTGATGGAAAGCTTTGGCCAAAGTGGTTAAGTGTCCTGCACTGGTGGAAAATGAGCCTCCTGCTACCCTCCGACTCCTGTTTGGAAGTGGAAGATGGCACTTTCCCGTGCATCAAGGAAAGTCGTCTTCCAATCAGCACCATGCCTTCCATGTATTCCATGTATTTTCTTCAAGTTGGGTTCACCCTCCATGACCCATGACCCTTCATAGCAGCCGAGCTGTAAGACCTGCTGCGACCGAGAGCGTTGCGGCTAAGACCTCAGACTTCACCGCCGATCGCCTCGGCTTCGCAGGTTGGACACATTTGGCCGACCAAGCGTTGGCTCGAAAGCCCACGTCTCTCACGCTCAACGCTTGCTTGTGTGATTGGGCCGAGAAGCAACCGAGTGAAGACTGGGCGGGCTGCTTTCAAAGCAGAAACTGGCAAGGCCCTACAAAGCCTCAGCTGTACTCAGCGTTTACAGGGTTCCCTATGTGGTTCCTGGTTCCTTATATATGGTTCCCTATGACACTATGGTTCCCTTTGCTCAGAGTATGGTGGCTTGACCGGTCGGTGGGCTCAAGCCTGTTCCTTCCGATTGCTGACCATGCCAAGGTGAATTGGACTGGCAGTTCGAGCTCGTGAACGGGAGCCACTCGAAGTGAAGAAGAACCGAACTCATGGCGTCTATCTACACAGCTTACACGTCTCTACACCGCTTACACACTCCATCCATGCTCCATCGGTGCGTCTCATGGGCCAACGGCCGTGCATGGCCCCGAAAGGGACCATGAGAACAAGACCTGTTTCAGGTGGTACAGGTGGTCCCGCCCACGGTAACCATGTTCTCATGTACAAAGACCATGCCTTGGGCGAGTGCGGATCCGTGCGGTGGTTCCGCAGCTTCATTGCTGCCTTTGGCTCCTTGAGCGAAATGGCTGAGCGAAATGGCATGAGCGATGGCACAGGGTACATGATCATTTCAGGGAATGTGATACTTGAGATGGGTTCCGATGATTTCCAATGCCTATTCTTGTTGATGTTGAACGGGATTGCCAGCCGGTTTGGCCCATGTGCTTCAGCGTTTGGAAGCTGGTTTGGCCCCGGCTGGAGGAACCATGAGAGACAGAGAGAGAGGTCGAGAGGTTCCGCTCTTTTGGGATGAAAACTGTAAGAAGCGCCCCGTTCGTACGCAGCCTGAGCCCCTAGCTTCTTCCAAAGACTATGCATCAAGTTCCTTAGCGAAGTCAAGGACAGTCCCAAATCAGCTCCACCGTTCGTCAGCCCATTCCTGTGAACGAAGGGCCCGGTAGCGGCCGATTCCTGCGTCGCACACGACGAACACGCTCAGGCTTTCAGTCCGGGGCCTTGGAACGTCGAGCGAGCACTCGTGCCGAGTCGCAGCGGAGGGTCAGATGCCGTACGGCTCCGCCAAACGCTCCGCTGTGCTTCGGGGAAACCGACACGTTCCCAGTCCGGATGTGCCGAACGGACCACGTTCGTCCTTTTGGACCCTTTTTGCCGACCGGTTCCGCAGAAGATGAGCTGATTCGTTGCACCGCTTCGGATGAGTGGTCGTTGCACCGTACCGACGATGGCACCGTACATGTCGGTGATGCCATCTTTCTCTCAGGTGCACAGAAGCTTCTCAGCTGCGAGCAATTGTTGAAGTTTGGTTCGCCGAAAGATCGTGCGGGTTCGGCAGGAGTTGCATCGTTTTGCAAGGAGGTGATTTAACCTGGTATGTGAGGAAGAAACTCTTAGGACTCTTAGGACTTAGAGCAGTGCTGGAAATTCAGTGTTGTAAGCATGTTTGAGTGAGCTTGCCATTGGAAAGGAACTCCCACATTGAACGGCCGCTCGCAACCGCACGTGGTTTTTGCTGCACAGCTCCTGTTTCGTCACATCCCCACCGTTCACACTCACTCACTCTCACTCTCACTCTCACTCTCACTCTCACTCACACTCACTCACTCTCTCACTCTCACCTGTTCGATCTGCTGACAGACTTGGTGCAGACTGTCTCAGGATGACTTTGGCTGCTGTGACCCCTATGGCACGAAGGACTTCTTCTGCCGGACTCAGCCTGGGTGCTATCAGGAGCTCTGATTGGTTTTGACTTGACCATGATCTGCTTGATTGGATGGTGCTTCTACTATACCAGATTGTACTAGGACCCTTCCAAAGATCGGGAGTTAAACTATAGTGCCCTAGTGATGAACGGCTAGTGCAACCAGGCCTTCGACAGCTGCTTTCCGCGCAAGCCGAAGATCGGGGGCCCAGGCCGCCGGGTAGTGCCCGAGGTGATTGGACAAAGCAGCGGTCTTCTGATTTGGTTGGGGGGGCAAGGATATTTAAAACATGTCAAAACTGTTTGAGATTTGAAAAAGTGGGTGATGTTGAGTTTGATGATGCAAGTGTTTTGCTAGGTGTTGATCCACGTATGTAGATGCAGGGACAAGTCGAACAAAGGTTTTGCTCTCATGCTCGTGGGTTTGAGCCGTTTGGGCTCAAATCCCTTGTTTTTCGTTGGCAAAGCCATGGAGGAAGCGAAGTGGCAGACGTTGACCAAAGACCATTGCACCACTAAAGGATCAGGGGCCTTGCATCGGATACGCTTACAACAGTTTTTGCGAGAAGTGAGGCGGAAGTCTAAGGGCTTTGAAGACTACATCGTACTTGGGCGAGAAGCCAGGTTTCATGAAGATCTTGAGCTTGACATGCTGGATTCGAGCGAAATTCGAGCTTCGCCCAAATGTGTGCTCATGGGTCACAACCCTGAACCCACCAGGTGTGCTCGCTACACCATCTGCTTGTGACATGTCCCATCCACCGTGGTGGGGAACTGCGATGGATATTTAGTGCAGAAGGCCATCGATCGATGCAAAAGTTTGGCCTGCTTGGGGCCACGCCGAAGTCGAGCGCTTGGCGAAATGAGACCCTCAATCGAATGAGTCACAGCAGGACCATTTGAGCTCTCAGGAAATGATTCCTGGAACAGAAGGGACTGTTTCCATGAAACTTCATGGCAAGTATTTCAGTTTTATACGTGAGCAAGCGCTAACAACTAGCAATGACCAACTCAGTAGAAGAGCGCTCGTGTGATATGGAAAGTTGACTGAACAGACGAGCCCCCGTCGAATAGAAAGCGAGAACCGGGTAACCGGGTTAATGCAGTTTGCCCCCAGCAAGTGGGTGCCCTTATTCAGGCGACTTAAAAAGGATATTAATTAATTCATGTCCTCATTCCCCAGCGGTTTTGGCGGATGCTCACATCAATTATTTTCAGCCAAAGGGGGTCGAAGGACCACCGTGAAGTGTTTGAGCAAATCTTCTCAAGGCACTCGGGCTGGCCCCTTGTCCGGAACCCGAACGTGTTGTTCAGACCTCAATCGCAGGCTGAATGACATAGACCGATGCCTGATGAGCTTCAAAAGAAATTAAAAGAGTTGCTTTTGACCGCACTGACTTTGCAATCAATCCTACTATTAGAGACCCCTAGAACCCTCCATTACTATTGGCCTTTGTGGCACGGCACGCGGTTTCAGAGGCCCAATGTCACGTGCAGGGAATAATGATGAAAAGTGTTGAAGAATGTCGGCGTGATTCGTTCGCGGACTGCTTTTTGGGACAGTGCTGCTGGAGGCCTCGCATCGTTGGCGGTAGCCCAAATGGATTTCCTGCGCCACAAACGGGGAGGTGTCGGTGCCTTAGCTTTTGAACTTGCTTTCCGAAAGGGAAGAACAAAGGGTCCGAGGTTGAACTCCAGGGTTTGAGGCAACGGTTTCTGCTGTGGTTCGGGCGACGTTGCTCCGGTTTGTCGACAACGCTCGTAGCGAGTGCATCCCATCAGGAAAATGGAAGGAGGTCTTGGATAGAATTGGTTCCCCGGTTCCAGGTACAGCCTAAGAATGATAAAATACTTAAAAGCATGACCAAAAGAAAATTTAAAAAAAAGCCGACTGGAAATACAAATTCCCCACTTGTATGTTAAAAAATGAACATTTGACTTGTGCATGTTTGAAAAACAACACGCCCTTACAAAATGCATAAAAAGGCGAAACTGCAAGCAATATGCAAGGAAATTGTCGCTTGATACGCATTGATATGGGTGGGATGGGAAGCTTGGAGCAGCCTCTCGTGGTTGTGGGGTAGCCTGACCACGTGTCGGTGGGTTTTGCCGGTCCGCAGTTCGAGGTTAAAATACGAAAAAGCAATTACGACCTTTTCTTCGTATTGTTCTAAAATAGAAAACACGACAAAATGCAACCGCAACAAAATACGACCCGTGAAAAAATATACAGACAAGAAAATAAGGGGCTAAAAAGAATACAAACACATACAACCGCAAAAAATACAAAAAGTTACGACCCGCAAAAAATACAAAACATGTACAACATTTGCCGATACGGGTTGCGAAACCAAATTTTGCAAATGTTTCGTTTTGCCGGCGCGTCGACGAGGGTGCTTGCTGATGGTGCGGTCCGATTGCCTTTGCTTTTGTTGCTACAATACAAACAGACAGCCAATTCGCGAAAATGCTTCTTGAAAACACATACAAAGGACAACGTGACTCAAAATTCTAATTGCCCTTGGTGGGTGCCATTCGCATTGTGGCCCTCATTTGAGTGTGTCGTTTGAGAACCAGGGCCAGTTAGGACGACCATGCCAAATATGTGTATTTCAGGGCTGTATTATTTCTATATTTTGCAATTTGTATGTTTTTGGTTTTCTTAGCCTCTACCTGAAATCCGGGGATTCAAGGATAGCAGAATGACCTGTCAGATCCATCTGAAACTGCGTAATTGGAAACGTGACTTTCAAGTGTGATGTATGATGTTGCTATCAAGTTGTTGCTACTTGGCCATTGGAATTTGCTCTTGAAAGGCTTGATTCGAAGTGTCGCTTTCTGACAAGTCTTGGCAAAAAAATCGCAAGTTTGAGTGGTGTGGGTGAAGCATCACAATGCGGAAATCATTCCAGGCGTGTGGACGGGACCTCACTGCCTTCTAAGAGGTGGAATAGAAACACACCTGAAAGGGGCCTGACAGGGGTCTAGAACCACCAAGCAACCCACGGTACCTATCTATGCTATGAGGCCACACAGGTCAAGCTCAGCTCTTCAGCCGCAAATCTGTGTTCAAGAACAATGTCCACATGCATTGCTATCGAAATAGAATGCAACAGAGAAGGGACTTCTGAGCCCGACAGACTTGAGGTTGCGACCTGGATCGCATGAACTAATGGCTAAGTGTGTGGCTAAGTGTGATATGATAGTGCGTGATCGCGTAGAACGGGGCCTGAACGGTCTGAAGTGGGTCCAATCATGCGCCCAATATCCACCACTCCCTCCTTGCTAAACCTAACGTCAATTGGAGCGCGTATGCTGGCTGGGGTGTTGAAGGATGAGATGCCAAAAATATATATTATATATATATATATCGAAATAAAGAAATATATAAATATGTTTGATCTGTTTATTTTTGTTCACACAGATAGCCAAATTGCCATTTGTTGTTTTTCGGAATCTAGACTAGATCTAAAAGCCCGCCCCGAAAGTAGTGTCGAATTTTGTGTTTAAAAGAACTTCTTAGCACAATTGTCCGCCGTAGGCTTTGTTTGGAGGTGCAGAGTTTTGTGATGCGTGCACTCCGATGAAACTTCCCGTTTGGTTTACCGCGCAACTTGTGTAGGACGAGTGTCGCCCAAGAGTGTCCTAAAAGAGTGTTAAGCAAGAGCATTTTTCATATGCGTTGGAAGATTTTGAAGGGCCCCTCAATGTCAAACACAAATGTTCAAGAATGTGTTCTGCAAATGTGGCACGCCGTCTGTGAAACTACATGAATATACAACTCATTTTGCAATCGGATTTGTGGTTTCATCTAGTATTTAGTAGTGACCAAAAAGGAACCACCATGGTAGAGGAAGCCCAAGTGGACATTCATGGTGTTTTTGGAGAACGTTCCGGTGGCCTTCGGACTTGAGCCACTCCCGAGTGTTCAAGTCCGCCGCGACGGGTGAGGGTGGCCACGACGACCTCTCCAAGTGCAAGCAGATTGCTGAGGCGGTTCGAGGAAGGCCCACTGAGACTCAGGCCGATGCCCACGAGGGCACGGAGAAGTGATGTGAGTTTTGTAGCTTTGCGCAGATCTCAATTCCAAAGTGCTTGTTGTATGAAAGCTGGGCCCCCAATCAGTACTTGTAAAGATCTTAACCTCTTTAGGACGAGATGTTGCGATCCGTCAATTCCAACACTCAACAAGTATTAGTTGAAGTGTGACTGGGGGCATGCCATAAAGACGCCCTAGGCCGATGTGTTGCAAATCCCAGATTCCCAGATTTAGCATGCGCAGGAGCGTGAATTTTGAACAAAATGTAGGCACTGCAACATTTTCCCATGGGTGACAAACCCTCAGAACAGGGTAACCGATGAACCAATCTACCTACCCACGTAGAATGTTACAGGATTTAGCCCACTCAAAGAAAGGAGTTCCCCGGCTGCTTTGGTGCGCACTTTCCATCGCAAGCCATCCTGGGCACCTTATCAGTCCTGCTTTCAAGTCGACGTTTGTCGTTCAAGCTTGAGCACTGCTTAGAACACGACTTTTTGCGATGGGTGGCAGTTCACTCCCAAAATCATTTTCCATCAAAAAGGATTAACCGATTAACCATGCAGGGGAGGTCGGGACGTAATGATAACATATTTGTGTGCCAATTCGGGTCGCAGAAGCATCAACGGTGTCCGTTCTGCTTGAGGTTCCAGCCAGGTGGTCTCTATCGATAGTTCAAATTCATGAGCCGCGTTGAGCCAAACCTGCCTTTGGCGGAAGCAATCATACCAAAAACCATCCGCTTGGTAAACTAAAGCAATAACTAAACAACACCATACGATTGTTTGGTACACTAACAATCATCATCATCATCATCATCCTCATCCTCATCCTCATCCTCATCCTCATCCTCATCCTC